GTGACAGTCCTGTATTGCACCATGTACATGTAGATGTGACAGTCCTGTATTGCACCATGTACATGTAGATGTGACAGTCCTGTATTGCACCATGTACATGTAGATGTGACAGTCCTGTATTGCACCATGTACATGTAGATGTGACAGTCCTGTATTGCACCATGTACATGTAGATGTGACAGTCCTGTATTGCACCATGTACATGTAGATGTGACAGTCCTGTATTGCACCATGTACATGTAGATGTGACAGTCCTGTATTGCACCATGTACATGTAGATGTGACAGTCCTGTATTGCACCATGTACATGTAGATGTGACAGTCCTGTATTGCACCATGTACATGTAGATGTGACAGTCCTGTATTGCACCATGTACATGTAGATGTGACAGTCCTGTATTGCACCATGTACATGTAGATGTGACAGTCCTGTATTGCACCATGTACATGTAGATGTGACAGTCCTGTATTGCACCATGTACATGTAGATGTGACAGTCCTGTATTGCACCATGTACATGTAGATGTGACAGTCCTGTATTGCACCATGTACATGTAGATGTGACAGTCCTGTATTGCACCATGTACATGTAGATGTGACAGTCCTGTATTGCACCATGTACATGTAGATGTGACAGTCCTGTATTGCACCATGTACATGTAGATGTGACAGTCCTGTATTGCACCATGTACATGTAGATGTGACAGTCCTGTATTGCACCATGTACATGTAGATGTGACAGTCCTGTATTGCACCATGTACATGTAGATGTGACAGTCCTGTATTGCACCATGTACATGTAGATGTGACAGTCCTGTATTGCACCATGTACATGTAGATGTGACAGTCCTGTATTGCACCATGTACATGTAGATGTGACAGTCCTGTATTGCACCATGTACATGTAGATGTGACAGTCCTGTATTGCACCATGTACATGTAGATGTGACAGTCCTGTATTGCACCATGTACATGTAGATGTGACAGTCCTGTATTGCACCATGTACATGTAGATGTGACAGTCCTGTATTGCACCATGTACATGTAGATGTGACAGTCCTGTATTGCACCATGTACATGTAGATGTGACAGTCCTGTATTGCACCATGTACATGTAGATGTGACAGTCCTGTATTGCACCATGTACATGTAGATGTGACAGTCCTGTATTGCACCATGTACATGTAGATGTGACAGTCCTGTATTGCACCATGTACATGTAGATGTGACAGTCCTGTATTGCACCATGTACATGTAGATGTGACAGTCCTGTATTGCACCATGTACATGTAGATGTGACAGTCCTGTATTGCACCATGTACATGTAGATGTGACAGTCCTGTATTGCACCATGTACATGTAGATGTGACAGTCCTGTATTGCACCATGTACATGTAGATGTGACAGTCCTGTATTGCACCATGTACATGTAGATGTGACAGTCCTGTATTGCACCATGTACATGTAGATGTGACAGTCCTGTATTGCACCATGTACATGTAGATGTGACAGTCCTGTATTGCACCATGTACATGTAGATGTGACAGTCCTGTATTGCACCATGTACATGTAGATGTGACAGTCCTGTATTGCACCATGTACATGTAGATGTGACAGTCCTGTATTGCACCATGTACATGTAGATGTGACAGTCCTGTATTGCACCATGTACATGTAGATGTGACAGTCCTGTATTGCACCATGTACATGTAGATGTGACAGTCCTGTATTGCACCATGTACATGTAGATGTGACAGTCCTGTATTGCACCATGTACATGTAGATGTGACAGTCCTGTATTGCACCATGTACATGTAGATGTGACAGTCCTGTATTGCACCATGTACATGTAGATGTGACAGTCCTGTATTGCACCATGTACATGTAGATGTGACAGTCCTGTATTGCACCATGTACATGTAGATGTGACAGTCCTGTATTGCACCATGTACATGTAGATGTGACAGTCCTGTATTGCACCATGTACATGTAGATGTGACAGTCCTGTATTGCACCATGTACATGTAGATGTGACAGTCCTGTATTATATCAGGTACATGTAGATGTGACAGTCCTGTATTGCACCACGTACATGTAGATGTGACAGACCTGTATTGCACCATGTACATGTAGATGTGACAGTCCTGTATTGCACTTGTACAGGTAAGTGTCATTCCAAGTAACATAGCTGTTGTGCAATTGAAGAAACGCTTACCAAACTGGAACTCCTAACTTCACTTCCAATATTTCCGTGTGTTTGTCTGCAGTTTTAGTTTGGTGTTACCTTAACTCTTGTGATTTCTTTATGTGTCGTGGTTGAGAGATAGAAGAAGAGTTATGCTGCTTATGTATTATTTACTTTGGTATGCATCTCATAAACTCATGTCATTAGTACAAAAAGAAAGTTCTTTTTAAGTTTGTTTAGATTACATCAGAGATTTAGAAGACATGCTACTAAAATCATACCTGTACTTTGTTCTATAGTTATGATATGATCTGCCTTGCACATCACACTTGACACACAACTCACAATATGGATGTAGTACAAAACGAAACAAAAGGAAAGACATTAACAGTAAACTTATGAGAGAAAAAACATAACAAAACAAAACAACACGAAAGACAATACCAGGAACTGAGGAGACACCAAAACAAAAGGAAAGACAATACCAGGAACTGAGGAGACACCAAAATAAAAGGAAAGACAACACCAGGAACTGAGGAGACACCAAAACAACACGAAAGACAACACCAGGAACTGAGGAGACACCAAACAAAAGGAAAGACAACAACAGGAACTGAGGAGACACCAAAATAAAAGGAAAGACAACAACAGGAACTGAGGAGACACCAAAACAAAAGGAAAGACAACAACAGGAACTGGGGAGACACCAAAACAAAAGATAACAACAGGAACTGAGGGAACACCAAAATAAAAGAAAAGACAACAACAGGACCTTAGGAAAGACCAAAATAAAAGGAAAGCCAACAACAGGAACTGAGGAGACACCAAAACAAAAGGAAAGACAACAATAGAAACAGAGGAAACATCAAAACCAAAGAAAGGACTTCAAAAGGAACCAAGAAGACATCCAAAATAGAAGAAAAGATGAACACATGAACTGATGAGTCACCAAAGCAAAACAAAACATCATGAACCACCCTAAACCCCTGTAAATCAGACAGTCCCTGGTGATAGTGTTTCCTGCAATAACTGTTGCATCCATAATAATGTCTGAAATCAAATCTTAATCTAGGAAAGAGTTAAGGTAAGCAGGATCTGAAACAGGAGATGTTTGCTCCAGACTCTGGCGTCTCAGTTAAATCTGAAACAGGAGATGTTTGCTCCAGACTCTGGCGTCTCAGTTAAATCTAAAACTGGAGATGTTTGCTCCAGACTCTGGCGTCTCAGTTAAATCTGAAACAGGAGATGTTTGCTCCAGACTCTGGCGTCTCAGTTAAATCTGAAACAGGAGATGTTTGCTCCAGACTCTGGCGTCTCAGTTAAATCATAAACTGGAAATGTAAATAGCATGGTAAGGGTTCAACATACCATCAGACAAATTACACAGAAGACACCATTTAGTGGCATATTTTGTAATTAAAGGACACATACTGAAATGTAGCTGTTTAATATCATGTATTTACTGCCTATGATATATGTGTGCAACTCTGCTGAGTAACACTGAGGCAGCCTGCATAAAGAAATTCAGAAATAACTTATTCTCATGTATAAACAAAGACGGTGCAGATTTACAGAAAACCTGCCGATTCTTAAATATAAACAAACTGTACAATAGTGGAGGAAATGCATGCAAATTCACATTAACGTGTATCACAAAATCACAATTAGAACAGATGGATGTTTTATAAGATAGGAACCAATGGTACACTAAATTACCACCTCAGTGAGAGACAGATTTAACGACAAAGGTGTTCTAATTTTATATACAACCATTTATCATAAATAGCTGTATACATAATCACAATTCTCACCCACACTTCAAACTCAAACTTTGCTCTCACATCACCACAACCCATTAATTTACTTCCCATATCACTCACACTTCCCACACACACACATCTATGTATTTAACTCATATTTCCCACAACAAAATTCTCACACATACTTCTGACCTACATGTATCGCTCACAAAATCACAAAATCCTCACACATACTTCTGACCTACATGTCTCACTCACAAAATCACAAAATCCTCACACATACTTCTGACCTACATTTATCACTAACAAAATCACAAAATCCTCACACATACTTCTGACCTACATTTATCACTAACAAAATCACAAAATCCTCACACATACTTCTGACCTACATGTCTCACTCACAAAATCACAAAATCCTCACACATACTTCTGACCTACATGTCTCACTCACAAAATCACAAAATCCTCACACATACTTCTGACCTACATGTCTCACTCACAAAATCACAAAATCCTCACACATACTTCTGACCTACATGTCTCACTCACAAAATCACAAAATCCTCACACATACTTCTGACCTACATGTCTCACTCACAAAATCACAAAATCCTCACACATACTTCTGACCTACATGTCTCGCTCACAAAATCACAAAATCACATATCACTCATACTTAAACTCTCAGGGTCACACTAAAAGAACTTTTTTACTCACACACTTTTCACTCCTACAATCACGCTTTTCATTCACACTCAACATTTAACATACAAATTCCTACTCATTGGTTCATATCAGTCACTTCCATTACATATCTGTTTAACCACCTGTTCATTATCACTAAATTTAATATGCTGTGATATATAGAACCACTCACATAAATTAAGGGTAAAGTGAAAGTTCATACAAATCAATGTCATGACAGACGTATCAATGTATGAGTTTCAGACAATATGCCAATCACTAACATTAGTGAACTAATGTGTTTTAATCAACTTATCAACAAGGATTTGAATTGCAAATACATGTAAATACAAATATTAAACTCTATAGAGATATTTAACTCTCCGTTCCTCCTCAATAAAATAAATGTGAAAACAGTTTTAAATAATTGACCATCAGCTATGCCAATGCTAATCTACTTTATTAAAACTTGATTGTCATTCATTTTTTCAATTCTGATAAAATCAGATTTTTAAGTTACAAAAATAATTTCACATGTAATGTGTGATAATTAACTTAAGTACAACAGTGTACCCTGACAGATAAGTTAATCTATATGGGCCTAGCTAGATAGCCTATTATGAGTATCAGTGTTACTTACATTGAACATTAAATATATAAACAGCACTATGATACACACATATGTAAGCTTGAAAGGAATCTAATTTTGCCTGATAATCAGCAATAACCATCAACCGGTATTGTCCTACAACCCTCTCCTTATAACTAATGAGTCATTAAGAATGTGTCACAAGATTATCAAAATTAGTTATACCTCGGAGCCAAACAGGGCCAGCAGTGATCAGCAGTACTGTGTGTATCACTTCCTATAGATTTCTTTTAGACAAGATCAGGATAGAACCTGTGTAACACGGGTATGTTTCCAGTACACAGGCAAGTGACCTTGTAAGCCAAGAAGAGTAGAAAATGGAAAAATTAACATGGCCTTTAAACTATGGTCAACCATGGTCTGGAAGTTTTGTGATTTGTATAAAAGTTGACCACTAATGTTATACACCAGGGTCAATCTTGGCTGGTCATTTTTGTGTTCTTTGTGACTGTGGTCAATTTACAAAAACATGGACACCAACATAAATCTGTAAACCTGTACAGAGTGACAGGACGATAAATCTGATAGATGTAATTAATTGTTTATAAATGTATATAGATAAGTCGCTTCTTTTGAAGTTCAATGTCTAGTAAAACCAGAATATTAAACAGAGAAAATTATGACGTGACTATCTTGAAGATAAAACATAAAATCACATGATTACCTATGGCACAAGGGCATAACGTATCAATATTAAAGTGCTGCAGAAGACAGTATCTAACTATTTGTGACAATAATCAGTGTCCTTATCTACCTTGTTTGATATATGCCTTGTTTACACAGTTTTATAAATTAACATTACTTGTTTGTAGGGGAATATTTAAGCTAACTGCCTTATGGAAAATTATTGAATGATCACCGATTATTTGTTTAAACTTGTAACAAAAATAAACATTTTGTGACCAATTTATTTAAACCTGAGAATAAAAGATATATAACCTGTCAGTTATATGTTTATACAGTGACCAACTTCAAGAGTTGTCTGAGGCATGTTAAAATATTCTAAATTTATATTTTAAAATTCTAACTCCAAAATCTCACAAATATCTATCGATCATTACAATAATCTCTAAACAACTGTTAGGACAACACTTAATTATTTCATACAGTTTAAGTCAACACGAAATTAAGTACACATACAAATTCTTGATTCCCAAAACTGATCAAGTCTCGACTGTTTTACAGTATAGCACCAAATGACAAAATTGATCATCTTATAAACGAAAGCATGCGCAGAAGATTTAAATTCTATTGTGAGAATAAATAGTCTATGTTTACTTTACAAGTAACATATGACAATCCTCTGTATGGCAGTTAAATATAGAACAAAACATATCAATACAACTGGTACAACACTAAATATACACACAGGACAATGGACACGCAAGACAATATACAGGAACATAACTCTTCATCAAACACCACAATACACGGACTTACACAGCTATATTACACATCTCTATTGCACTCACCGTAGCAAGTCTGGCATCACTCACTGTACATACATTTTATCGTGTGTGTACACATTTATAATGTGTTTAATACACATTGGTCAATAGCTGAGTGTCACACTGACAGTTAATTAATCCTACTGTCTGTCTGACCAAACATACATAAACAAAATGACTTTGTCAGACAGTCAGATCTTTGCACATTATCCAGGTATTGCTATTGCTTGTCCACCTTCAAAATGTCATAATACAGGCAAGCTTAATTTTTATTAAAGCCACCTTTCTGTTCCGTCAATGTGGCTCGATAGTGCCACCTTTCTGTTCCGTCAATGTGGCTCGATAGTGCCACCTTCCTGTTCCGTCAATGTGGCTAAATAGTGCCACCATGTGACTAGCAGATTAGCAGTGGCTAGAATAACAAGCTTACACATGACCAAAGTTTCATGATTTAAATATTACGTAATGCCAGTGAAATAATCCCATTGTTAATGTATCTGCCATTGTCAAATGTTCCTCCATACTGAAGACAATGCTACTGGTCTGATCAAGAAATGAATATATTGATATAATTGATATAATAAGCTCAGCTGTTAAAAAATCCAGTCCTTGTCAATACATAGCAATGTGAAATAAATTTGTTCAAGATTTAAAGATGTATTTCAATCTTACACAGAGGATGAAGGATAAAGTCTTCCAACACAACACATTGAGATGGCTACTGGATACGTTTCTATGCCAACATTGGCTTCCACGGAGGTCACCGGTTTGTGATGACCTCTATGGATGTTTTATCACAACTACCACTGTCCTGTTCTGTAATTGTAGTCACGTTAGGACTGACAGGGGGTGGGGCTAGCTCCACATTGTTTACATTGTCCACAGAGAAACTCCGGCGAGATACACATGATGACTTGCGTCTCATGAAGGGAATCTTTCCAAACACTGACTCGTGGCTTCTGGCAAGAATGGATAAGGCTGCGTCATAGTTGGGGGGAGGAGTCATAGGGGGCTCCTCAATAGATGTGATCCTCCCCTGTAAACAGAGAAGGTAAACATGTAAAACAAAGTCACCAGAGGTAGTGGTATGTCAACAGGCTAACGTCTACCCCTGAATTGATCACACACCCTTACGACTGCTGCTCAGTGTCAACAGCATCTTATCGTATTTAATTTTCTATCTTAATTTTGAAAAGACTATTAATGCAGTAAATATTTCGCTTGTGGTATATTCTTGAATCTCCTGCATTTTAACTTATTATCTTAACATGTTTAAAATCAACATTTTTTAAGTTTTAAATATGAAAATATTCCTTCAAAAATTATATATGAATATAAAAGACACATTTCAACACATTTTAATAATCTAAATACCATATCACTGATTTTGACAAATTGCAATTTGCAATCTTGCCCTTCACGATTTATGCCCGTTATTTCATTTTTTTGGGACTTGAAAGGTATATGCTACCCTTAACATCACAAGCAGAGTATAATTGCTTCTTTTCTCATAATAGCTATAAACTTCCTCACTTCAGCAACATCACAATGAAATGAATTACATTTTTGAGCCTCATTTGGTGGAGCCAATGGTGTGTGATGTAGAGATATATAATACCTACCCTTGCGAGCCTCATTTGTGGTGTTGTGATATATAACTTACCCTTGCGAGCCTCATTTGTGGTGTGTGATGTAGTGATATATTATACCTACCCTTGCGAGCCTTATTTGTGGTGTGTGGTGTTGTGATATATAATACCTACCCTTGTGAGCCTTATTTGTGGTGTGTGATGTAGAGATATATAATACCTACCCTTGCGAGCCTTATTTGTGGTGTGTGATGTCGAGATATAATACCTACCCTTGCGAGCCTCATTTGTGGTGTGTGGTGTTGTGATATATAGCCTACCCTTGCGATCCTCATTTGTGGTGTGTGTTGTAGAGATATAATACCTACCCTTGCGAGCCTCATTTGTGGTGTGGGGGGATATAAGTCTGTAGTGACCACCTCCTCATAGGTGGGTGGTGGCATGTATAGTGATGCATGGTCTTCCTCGTCACGATTTGTCTCTGTCATAGCTTCAAAACAAAATGACAGATCATTTACTGGCATTCCACATTAAGAAATATTTTTTTACTTTCCCTTGTTTTATTAAGGCTAAGTTTTATAATATCAATCAATTCAACCCTACAAAATATCATAAAATATCAATTACATTGAAGCAGATATTCATCCTTTTTGTTTCAATTTAAATACACTGAGTTAGTCATGACGGAGTAAGAACACTACTATTTACATACAATTTAAAACAATTCAAGACCAATCTGTTGATGAAGAGATTTGGAATGCTGATGGAGAAATTGTGACAGAAGTAAAAGTTGATGCGCTGTAATGTATCAATACTGTTTGATATCTACAATCTGACTAAAATCATCTGTTACATGGCTTTGTAGCTGTAGTACGAAGTAAACAAAGCCATGTAACAGATGACTTTAGTCAGATTGTGATATATACAGCTAGACATCTGTTTCCCTCCCTACCCTACAATGACACAGTCTAATATGGACAGACCAGATATCTTTTGCCCTCCCTACCCTTCAATGTGACCATGTGATATCTACAGCTAAGACGTCTGTTGCCCTTCCTACCCTTCAATGTGACCATGTGATACCTACAGCTAAGATGTCTATCACCCTCCCTACCCTACAGTAAACCAGTCTGATACCTACAGCTTGGACGTCTATTGCCCCCCTACCCTTCAATGTGACCATGTGATACCTACAGCTTGGACATTTGTTGCCCTTCCTACCCTACAGTAAACCAGTCCGATACTTACAGCTAAGACGCCTGTTGCCCTTCCTACCCTTCAATGTGACCATGTGATACCTACAGCTAAGATGTCTGTTGCCCTTCCTACCCTTCAATGTGACCATGTGATACCTACAGCTAAGACGTCTGTTGCCCTTCCTACCCTTCAGTGTGACCATGTGATACCTACAGCTAAGACGTCTGTTGCCCTTCCTACCCTTCAGTGTGACCATGTGATACCTACAGCTAAGACGTCTGTTGCCCTTCCTACCCTTCAGTGTGACCATGTGATACCTACAGCTAAGACGTCTGTTGCCCTTCCTACCCTTCAGTGTGACCATGTGATACCTACAGCTAAGACGTCTGTTGCCCTTCCTACCCTTCAGTGTGACCATGTGATACCTACAGCTAAGATGTCTGTTGCCCTTCCTACCCTTCAGTGTGACCATGTGATACCTACAGCTAAGATGTCTGTTGCCCTTCCTACCCTTCAGTGTGACCATGTGATACCTACAGCTAAGATGTCTGTTGCCCTTCCTACCCTTCAGTGTGACCATGTGATACCTACAGCTAAGATGTCTGTTGCCCTTCCTACCCTTCAGTGTGACCATGTGATACCTACAGCTAAGATGTCTGTTGCCCTTCCTACCCTTCAGTGTGACCATGTGATACCTACAGCTAAGATGTCTGTTGCCCTTCCTACCCTTCAGTGTGACCATGTGATACCTACAGCTAAGATGTCTGTTGCCCTTCCTACCCTTCAGTGTGACCATGTGATACCTACAGCTAAGATGTCTGTTGCCCTTCCTACCCTTCAGTGTGACCATGTGATACCTACAGCTAAGATGTCTGTTGCCCTTCCTACCCTACAGTAAACCAGTCCGATACTTACAGCTAAGATGTCTGTTGCCCTTCCTACCCTTCAGTGTGACCATGTGATACCTACAGCTAAGACGTCTGTTGCCCTTCCTACCCTTCAATGTGGCCATGTGATACCTACAGCTAAGACGTTTGTTGCCCTTCCTACCCTTCAGTGTGACCATGTGATACCTACAGCTAGGACGTCTATTGCCCTTCCTACTCTTCAATGTGACCATGTGATACCTACAGCTAAGACGTCTGTTGCCCTTCCTACCCTTCAGTGTGACCATGTGATACCTACAGCTAAGACATCTGTTGCCTTTCCTACCCTTCAGTGTGACCATGTGATACCTACAGCTAAGACGTCTGTTGTTCTTCCTACCCTTCAGTGTGACCATGTGATACCTACAGCTTGGGCATTTGTTGCCCTCCCTACCCTACAGTTTGGCCATGTGATACCTACAGCATACCTACAGCTAGGACGTCTGTTGTTCTTCCTACCCTTCAGGACAGACCAGATATCTTTTGCCCTCCCTACCCTTCAATGTGACCATGTGATACCTACAGCTTGGGCATTTGTTGCCCTCCCTACCCTCCTACCCTTCAATGTGACCATGTGATATCTACAGATAAGACGTCTGTTGCCCTTCCTACCCTACAGTAAACCAGTCCGATACTTACAGCTAAGATGTCTGTTGCACTTCCTACCCTACAGTAAACCAGTCCGATACTTACAGCTAAGATGTCTGTTGCCCTTCCTACCCTTCAATGTGACCATGTGATACCTACAGCTTGGACATTTGTTGCCCTCCCTACCCTACAGTGTGGCCATGTGATACCTACAGCTCGGACGTCTGTTGCCTTCCCTTTGACGCTGCTGGAAACAGTACAAGACGATGAGGAATATGACGACAGCTAGTCCAACAACTATCATGATGAGGATCGTGTTCTGGTTCATCAGCTGTTCCTCCGCTACAGCACAAGATATTAATGACTCATTCAACACCTGTTGATAACCTTACTGATTGGTTTTATTATCTCTTGAAGGTTTCTAATTCAGTAACAAATACAGGACCCCTTTGTTATATTGACACTCACCTCAGAATGTAGGACTCATAGTAAAACTGACTTAACATGAACAGCATACATGTATGTATGACAAAGGTCTACATCTAGTATGCAGAACCTGTTTAAAGTATTGACTTCATAGGTTCACAGTCCATATACAAAACCCAAGTTTTATATACATTGACTTCACATGAACAGCATGGGAATGAGGTTCACTCTGTATGCAGAACCTGTCTAAATTATGCAATGTTAACTTCACATTAACAGCAGTCCTACATTGGAATGAGGTTCACACTCATTACGCAAAACCCATGTTTTATGCAACATTGACATCATATGAATTGCATATTTATGTGTAAATGTATGACAGAGGTCCACAGTCTGTTTGCAGAACCCTTGACGGGTGTAATATTGACTTCACATGTACATGAATAGCATATAATTTATGTATGTATAAATGTATGACACAGGTCCACAGTCTGTATGCAGAACCTATTTAAAACATTGACTTCACATGAAAATCTTGTGAATACATATAAGAGCTAGTTCCACTACCTAGGACAGAACCATTTGTAATATTGACTTCATGTGATAAGCACACATTCATGTTTATACCCTTCATCATGCCATACATATAGGACCTTACAGGAGTTTCCATTTCACATGAGATTTATGAAACAAGTCTAAGGATTTGAGCCTCTAGCGAGCTAAAATGAAAAATTTGTGACGAGTTTCATAAATTTCATATGAAATGATAACGAGTATAAGATCCTTTTCATCACATAATCAAGATTTATGGCATATATTCGTGTAAAACAACAATTTTCATGCAACCTTGAAATGTAAAAAGACGCCATTTTGACTCCAGTGCATAAGTCTGTGACGTCATGTACTTGTCCTAAGCGTGACGTCACAATTGAAACGATTGAAACTTACAACCAATCAAAGAGATGACTATCTTCGCTAGCTAAGCTCCACTTAAGTGGAGTGTATATGAAGCGAACACTTGGCTAGCGAAGATGAGGGCTGACAGGTCATATTGCATGGGTTAATATTCACTGGATAATTACACAGTACATTATGTGATAAAAACAACCCAAACACATACAATCACTACTATGATATGGCATCACTTCAGTACAGTTTCATTGCCGTATCCTTGTACAACAACACCTTTGTAAATAACCAAGTTTTTTTAACTTATCATTTTAAAAAAATGTCCTGAACATTAATAGATTACTCCATTATATACAGAGTATTAGAAAACAGAAATGTCCAATACAGCATATAATGCATTTAATATAAATCCATAGAATATAAAAATGGGTCTCTGCTTAAGGTGGCTCGACACATCGTCATCAGCGTCCATTTTCGTGACGTACTTCCGGAAAAAGTACAGCTCGGACTCAATTATCTTGATCGAAATGTGCATGTACACCGTGTCGTCATTTCCGTCTTACGTATCGGGTATTCAATATCGTAGTGCAAATTATAGTAACACCTGGGCCGTTTGCGTTTAAACGGTCAAACCGATCGGACCACTGTTGTTCGTTTATTAAATAAGATAGGACCTAATTATCTGATGCTGCTTTCAGGCGAGCCTTGAGAAAGCCTTGCAAGTCTTGCATACACATTTGTAGGTCCACCGGGATTTATACCCGGAATTGTTACATTTATAAACGGTCAAACTGGTTGTTCTGCATAAACGAACAGGCCCCTGGTAAACAATAGTACACGTGCGTGCCGATGATATGTCAACACCCGATATCGAGATTTTACCGGGAAATGTATAATCACACGTACTTCAGGAATAAAGCTTTCCAATTCATTGACATAAACAGACTCACGGGAAGACAGTGACATGAGACCAGACGACCTCAAGAAGGTCATATAGGAAACACATGGAATGCGGACGTACCAACCTCATATGTGCATATCACGTGCTTACACGAGTTCATAAGCTGAGGGAGTTTCGCTCTGTCGATTAAATCGTGTTTACAAATGTAGTCTACTTACTCTGTGAAAATAATGTTTTGTAAAATATCAAGATACCTATGAAATGCATGTGTGAGGGCACGTGAGAACGGCATACCATGCGATAGCCTCTGGTCACATATGTACCTGACATGTAATTATAAATATACCGTGAGTTAGCGGACTGTGGAATGATGTCCAAAGTGTACATGACTGAGGGTAATTTGGTTCCATTAAAGAACAATAAATTGATAATTTTGATATCATATTTTTGATTTATTTCCATCATTTGTTATATGTAAACAGAGACAACTGTCATTGTGTAAATGTCATCCCTCTGCAAAAAGTTCCGATTTTTTTCAAGGAAGATAACTCTCACCCGGATCAAAGTGATTGTAAAATGTAAAATAAATTAATTATAAAGCCATTGTGTATATTTTGTTCAATTTCCCACTCTATATGTATAGATCTGTGTGTCCTGTTTGCTTTTAGCTTGTAGATAATCACTTTTATCCGTTCAAATTCAATAAAAAACACTTTGTGTAACATGTGTTACATATTTTGCGATAAATAAAATATTTGTAGGATTAATTATAAATGCTTCTTTTCATTTTTTTATTGTTTTTATTGTTCCGAACAATGCCACACAACAAAAAAAACGGAAAATATTAAAAGTGGCGAAAATTCAATTTTTTGGTATTTTTTCCAAAAAATTCCCCAAACTATCGGAATGTTTAGATTTTCATAAAATTAACTCTACATAGTTGCATAACCATTATATGAAAGTTTCAACGAATTTTGCTGGTTAATTGCGAAAGTGTGGAGCCACCTTAAAGCTACATCATTCTGATTTCAGGGCGGAAAACTCTACAGTGAAGAAGCACTGTAAGTCCCAGACACATACATGGAATGGGGACCAAGGACTAGACAAGATAATTTGAGTTTGAATGACAGATGATATAATTGCATGTGGATGTGATGCTGCTATGAATTAGATAAGTGGCCTTGTTGATTGCTACCAGGCCATGACTGTAGAGACGTGTCTATGGTCCTGCCCTGTCTCTGGTGTTCCTAGCAGTCCTTCTTTGAAATATTTCAATCCTGTTTCTGTAATTATTTTCCATGAGCTCAAGTCGGTAAATTAAGTTTTAACATAGACGTGCACATGTTAAATCAGCACAGTGTTTGGTTTTGATACATTGTCATCTCATTTCTATGGATGAAACGGAGAGAATGTTCTCCTTATTGGTGATCCTTGAGAAAATATATGTGATGGTTAGCTCTAAATATTTGGGTCTTCTTTTATTGTAATGCTCAGTTAAGTAAGGAAGAACTTTTCTCAGGAAATTGACCTTTTTAAACTCTGTTACGATCCTGATGTCACAAACTTAATAACATCGGGTAGAAGCATGTAACTGTTGGCTTGGTGTTGAATCTAGACAGATATACATGTATAAGCTTCAACTAATCTGAGTTGACCGAAATGAAATATAAATTTAAGAATAATGCACATGAAACATGAACTCTTGACCCAATAGTGTTACTGACTTTGCATGGACAGAATGTACAATTACAAACAACAGATTCAGTGATTCACCCAAAAAGTATACATACGACAGAGGTCCACGGCCTGTATACACGACCCGTCCTCACACTGACGCTCCCCGTTAAAGCTGCAGGGGGGATTACTGTGGCTCTCCATCCTCGGAATCATGGAAGTCAAGGCTGATCCAATCTTCTGCATAGCTTTGGTCGAGATGTTCATCATCTCATAAACACCCTGAACAAGAAATACATTATATATGTATTAATTTACTTTCAGTTACTTTGTGCTTGTATAAATCTACTTGGTTTGGAAATTTTGAACATAATGGAAACAAAGCATCTAAAAAGCAAGAAATGAATATAAACTGAACACAATTTTTAAAGAAAAGTGTGGATGTTTAATCTCCATCCTTAGCGACTACAGTGTATTTAGTTCTGTCTGTATCATAAGTTGTCAAGCTGCTGGTGGTTATCCCAAACTAAAACACTGACATGTGAGAGAAAAAAATCCTGCCATGTATGATGTACATGTCATTTGACTCATAACTGGCGTATTGTATCTATATAAGCTACCTGGTGTATTGTATCTATATAAGCTACCTGGTGCATTGTATATATATAAGCTACCTGGTGTATTGTATCTATATCAGCTACCTGGTGTATTGTATCTATATAAGCTACCTGGTGTATTGTATCAATATAAGCTACCTGGTGTATTGTATCTATATTAGCTACCCGGTGTATTGTATCTATATAAGCTACCTTGTGTATTGTATCTATATAAGCTACCTGGTAAATTGTATCTATATAAGCTACCTGGTGTATTGTATCTATATAAGCTACCTTGTGTATTGTATCTATATAAACTACCTGGTGTATTGTATCTATATAAGCTACCTGGTGTATTGTATCTATATAAGCTACCTGGTGTATTGTATCTATATAAGCTACCTGGTGTATTGTATCTATATAAGCTACCTGGTGTATTGTATCTATATAAGCTACCTGGTGTATTGTATCTATATAAGCTACCTGGTGTATTGTATCTATATAAGCTACCTGGTGTATTGTATCTATATAAGCTACCTGGTGTATTGTATCTATATAAGCTACCTGGTGTATTGTATCTATATAAGCTACCTGGTGTATTGTATCTATATAAGCTACCTGGTGTATTGTATCTATATAAGCTACCTGGTGTATTGTATCTATATAAGCTACCTGGTGTATTGTATCTATATAAGCTACCTGGTGTATTGTATCTATATAAGCTACCTGGTGTATTGTATCTATATAAGCTACCTGGTGTATTGTATCTATATAAGCTACCTGGTGTATTGTATCTATATAAGCTACCTGGTGTATTGTATCTATATAAGCTACCTGGTGTATTGTATCTATATAAGCTACCTGGTGTATTGTATCTATATAAGCTACCTGGTGTATTGTATCTATATAAGCTACCTGGTGTATTGTATCTATATAAGCTACCTGGTGCATGTATACTGTACAACTTACTGGTAATCAAAACATATTTATATACCAAGGATCTACTTACTCTCTTTGGGATTAAATCATGTTTTAATCTAGTGGTAAATGTTTAATTAAATTTATCAAAACATTATCTTTTTCAAAAGTAAATATGCATCTGAGAAATGTGTCAAAACAGATACTTATATTTTACTAGTTTTTAAAAAGATTACCAATTTTTGAATTATATTGAAAATTAGAAAAACTTAGTATATCTTTAACTCCATGCAATACTAAAATGACACTTGTTGACAGTCGAGTGTCATTATATTGCTATTTTTGATAAGTTTTAGATGTTCAACATTATATAGAAAGTACGTGTAACAAAAACAGGAAATTTTACGTAATTGGATTTTTTTCTTTAACTTATTTAGATCAACTGAAGTCTTTGGTCACACTTAAGATGAAAAATAACAAACAAAAAAAAACATGGCAAGAGAAGCATACAGACCTCACATTTGTGGGGTGTTTTAGAAAGGTAAACACAAATTATCTTTTATTTCAATCAATAATGAAAACAAATAGTCATCAGACCATTTTATATAAAATATTCATCAACAGAATGGGCTTGTTTCAATATCAGGGGTAGTAGGGGTCACATAAATGTTATTGTCTGAGAATATATTACCTCTCCAGAATTTAGAATACGGATTTTAATAATTGTGCAAACACTCACAGATATCTGATAACACACTAGTGATATGTGGATTGTCCTACACAGGTCAGGATAATATATTTTACTTAAAAAAATGTGTTTGGTGTCAAATTTGTATCTGTAACTTGTCACAATGTAAATAACAAACACAAAGACATACCGTTTGGTACCATTTTCTATGTACTAGTGGTTTTTTACTTGTTATTGTATTTTCCACTTTAAAATAAAAGAATGACTTTGAAAAAGTAAGTCTGCAGGAAATTGGACAAAAATTGAAAGTAATGCCATAGATGTATTATATAGCCCAACTTTTGTACAATGTACATGCTGACACAAGATCTACCTCCCATTTATAAGTTTGATATAAAATATCAAACTATGGCTAATACATTGTAAGCACTTATTTCTAACAAAAATCTATCATTTAAAAAAAAACTAAAAGTTTTAAAAGTAGCTAATAAATAATTACCTTCACTCAATATCTGAATGGCTGTTTATTCTATAGAGTTTAATACAATTGTTATCAGATTAACCAATAAAAATAGCTTCTTCCGACTGTTTTATATGGGGATTTGGCTCTAAGTTGAACTTGGCTAGCCTTTGTCTTTGTTAAGTGTTAACTGTTGATGTTGATCACATTTCATTATCATCCACTCATGGTTGGTGTCATAATTGTCTGGTAACAAATCAGAGTATAGTATGTTAAATAATTATCATGCACAGATTTTGAATCAAATTGCAGCTCACTCTTAGTTTTTGTGCAAAATTTCATCATTTTATGAAAGCTAATGTTTGCAGTTTCTAATCATCTTATTGAAACACAAACCAGAACAGGACAGGCAGACAAGTTAATTATAAAGGGCACCCCTACTCTCCAAATGCTGGGTTCTAATTATCAGGAGTTCACTCATTATAATTATAGTGATTCATTCACACAACAGACATGATCCTAGTGGTTCACTCACACAACAGACATGATCCTAGTGGTTCACTCACACAACAGACATGATCCTAGTGGTTCACTCACAACAATATCACATGTATGACTATCCATACACAATGAAGTAAACAAGCTGACAGTCACATACTGGACATAGAACACATAACTGCAGTCCTAGGGCCTGGTCGTTTATGTGGAACAACCGGTTTGACCGTTTATGTGGAACAACCGGTTTGACCGGTTATAAATGCAGCTACTCCTGGTTTTTGAGGCCTTGCAAGGCTCTGTCAATGCTCTCCTGAAAGCAGCATCAGATTACTAGGTCCGACCTTATTTAATAAATGAACAATTGTGGTGCCGTTTAAACAAAAACGCCCCTAGACACCTGAACGCCACATATATAGGAATCCTCCAACCCTGTCTATATAAATAGTATGTCTGATGATAAAGTATGGTTATAACATACTGAATTAACATGAAATTGATACAGTTAGACTCCACAACAATCAGAATATCCAGTCGATTTAAAGTCCATGTGTACGTAATTATCTGCCAGTAGCTGGTCTACACAACCAAGTACTTGGCCTGTCCATGTGTATACAGCAAACGGTCAGGATAGGATGTTGATCACATCTATTCTGTGTTGGGTTTAAAATTAGTTCTGGTTTTACAAGCATTGATTTTAAATCAAAAGTACAAGAATTTATTTACACTTAATATAATTAAATACAGATTGTTAGGAATGTTTATTACATTGTGATGTAATTCTATTTATCGTTGCAAGATAGGTGTGAAATTTTGCTTTAACAAACCTGTATATTATATTACAGACAAAACAATTACTATATACCTATATACCCATCCACTGATATGTGGACAGGCCTCCGTTAAAATTTTACAACCCACTACCACTGTAGGCATTGTGCTTATACTAAGTACCCAAAAGCCACACCATACATAGGATATTTTACTGGGCACCAGATCAAAGCCACTCCATCCATAGGATATTTTACTAGGCACCAGATCAAAGTCACTGATCCATACATAGGATATTTTACTGGGCACCAGATCAAAGTCACTCCATCCATAGGATATTTTACTGGGCACCAGATCAAAGTCACTCCATCCATAGGATATTTTACTGGGCACCAGATCAAAGTCACTGATCCATACATAGGATATTTTACTGGGCACCAGATCAAAGTCACTGATCCATACATAGGATATTTTACTGGGCACCAGATCAAAGTCACTGATCCATACATAGGATATTTTACTGGGCACCAGATCAAAGTCACTGATCCATACATAGGATATTTTACTGGGCACCAGATCAAAGTCACTGATCCATACATAGGATATTTTACTGGGCACCAGATCAAAGTCACTGATCCATACATAGGATATTTTACTGGGCACCAGATCAAAGTCACTGATCCATACATAGGATATTTTACTGGGCACCAGATCAAAGTCACTGATCCATACATAGGATATTTTACTGGGCACCAGATCAAAGTCACTGATCCATACATAGGATATTTTACTGGGCACCAGATCAAAGTCACTGATCCATACATAGGATATTTTACTGGGCACCAGATCAAAGTCACTGATCCATACATAGGATATTTTACTGGGCACCAGATCAAAGTCACTGATCCATACATAGGATATTTTACTGGGCACCAGATCAAAGTCACTGATCCATACATAGGATATTTTACTGGGCACCAGATCAAAGTCACTGATCCATACATAGGATATTTTACTGGGCACCAGATCAAAGTCACTGATCCATACATAGGATATTTTACTGGGCACCAGATCAAAGTCACTGATCCATACATAGGATATTTTACTGGGCACCAGATCAAAGTCACTGATCCATACATAGGATATTTTACTGGGCACCAGATCAAAGTCACTGATCCATACATAGGATATTTTACTGGGCACCAGATCAAAGTCACTGATCCATACATAGGATATTTTACTGGGCACCAGATCAAAGTCACTGATCCATACATAGGATATTTTACTGGGCACCAGATCAAAGTCACTGATCCATACATAGGATATTTTACTGGGCACCAGATCAAAGTCACTG